AACCTTTTTGTTTGAATTAGAAAATTTTAATATTTAATCGTTATTAAAATTTCATTAAAGCGAGATATATATTTAACCCTTTGAACAATGAGATAGAATAAATATCTATTAAAATGATATCCATTTTTTAATCTAAAAGTAGATCAATTTATCTATGATTTTTTAATATGTTCATAATAAATATTATCACTTGCAGACCACCAATTGAAGTAAAATGCATTAACTCCGGCGAAAGAATTAATATTACCGAAGAAAAAGGAATTTTATTTAAAAGAAACCCTATAATGTATTATTTATAAATATTCTCAATCGAACATTAATCAAAGGTCTTATATGATTGCATGGTTAGAATTTCAAGAGCTACTTTATCATTTAAATACTGATAAATATTCCTCTTCTTAAATGTATCTTTATAATAAGCAACATTCACTATTCCTCATGTCAGCATGAATAATTTGAATTTTAATAATCTCTATTTTAAAGACATCTTCGACACATTTATTAATAAGGGATAAAATTTATATAACTTACTCAATATTACCAATAGTCTTTAAATTTGAACTCAATTTGATGAGTCCTTTTGTAGCATATATTCTTTAGAAAAATAAACAATTCTAAAGATGTTTCCTATGGAATCATACCAAGTCTATTTCAAACTTTCGTTACTCATTATATCAGAAATATAATATTGCTTTCATTATCTCATTTGAATTGTTAGTTTATTAAAGGAATCATTAGGATCTATATATTAATAAGTGGCTAAATATGAGATTTTTCAGACTTACCATTTAATCCTTACATTAGACACTTTTTTAGGATATCAATTGATAAGGCTTGCATTAATCACATTTTTAACTCTTAATAGTTTAAAATCAAATAATGATGTAGTTGTATATCTTAGACAATTTCCAATTCAAAAATTTTCTCTAAAACTATTTCCAAGCCATGCTTACTGTATTACATGAAAAGAATTAAAATTATTAATATAATTTGATTGTCGTGTCTCAGAATTCAGTATTAATTATTAATTTCTATTAGTTCTGATGAATCTAAATGCAAAATCATTGATAATTTAAAAATAATCAACTTGAAAAATTCCAATAATGTCAATCTACAAAATTAGTTTGATCATTTTTTTAAATCTTATATTTAAATTGAATATCCCGATCTAAGTAACTTACATATTTAGATATTAAATAAAAAGTTTTATTTTATGCAAATAATCGGTTTGATCATCTCTAACTAAATATGAATTATTTAATATATTTAGTAAAATAACCTTATTCTTCAACAATTATTAATAAAAATATATTTAAGAAAACTTTTATAGCCTAAATTCTAATAAATGTTGGATTCATTTTTGATCTCTAAATCCTTGAGAGTAAAATTATTTATACTTGACATTTTATTTATTGAAATCACCCATTTTATCTGGATGTTTGTGTTTTGAAAGTACAGATTTTCTTAAATACTTCATAATCCATCAAAATAGCTCATTTTTTTTTGTTTTATTTTTACCTCAAATCTTTAAGGGTATTAAAAATCTGTTAAAGAAACTCTGTAACTTATAAAAGAAGACCAATTGAGTAAAATTGAGCAAATTGTTTTCGCAATATACTTAAATATCTATTTACAAAAAGAAGCCTCTATACTGCAGCAGAACTTTGGTATTATATAATAACTAGTCCAAGGATAAATATATTTAGTCTTTTATAGGCAAAATATCATTATCTTATTAATGTATAATTAAGAGAATCATTTAAGAGGTTGTCTATTATTCTCGCTATTAAGTGATTGCCATTGAAAAGAATAACTTGATTCATAAAAATGCATATTTCTAATCCTTGTGTTATCATATTAATGAGCGCTTTTTGTTCTAAACAATCTTCTTTTTAATGATAAATGACATTAATTATCTAAAATAAGCATCGAAGTAGTAAAATTGTCATCAAAATGTAATTCAGGTATTTTCTTTTATGAATTGGGTTATTGTACATAATCAATTTGAATATAATGTCCAATTAATCATTTAGCTAAGATGATAAACTAACTTTTGAAAATCACATAGCCTTAAATTACTTGAAAAATATAACAATTATTTTAACGAATTGCAACCACAAATTTCTCCCATTCTTAATATTTGATATTTTTATTTCTTAATCAACTCTCATCATTTAAAAATTTATATTAAAAGCCACAAAGAGATTTTATTAAGAAATTAAAAATCATTCATTATATATACTTTCAATTAAAAATTTAGAGTTTTTTCTTTGTTAAATTTCAGCCTTTCTAATTAGAATTAAGCAGATTTACAGACAAAGTTTAGATTATTTCAAATTATTCAATTAGATTTCAATTTCCTATGAATATTGTTGACAACTTTTTTTAACCGCAGGTTTCTAATTTTAATGTTATTTTCATGAAAGTTTTTCAAATATCTACTCTATTTCAGGATTTTCATAACCCTAATTTTATTCTTTTAACAAGCAATTCAACATTTTTCTCCATAATTCAAGTTTAGTTTAAATGATTGATAATTACAATTAGAATTTGTAGTGTAGAATATTGGAATCAGTTTGCTTTAAAATCATTTTCATTTTAATTATATTTTTGATTTCTCGAACTGCAAAATCAGAAATTATTTTTGTATAATCCTGGTGATTGAAAAGTACTTTAGAGTGGAAACTGTTACTTAACATCATATTTTTTAGAAGCCTAACTTCATGAATATTCATATCATTTACAAATTAAAAATAATCGTTCACTAAACACTTCAACTTTCAAGTTGAAATTCTAAGAATAAGCATTAGTACTTTAATTCTAGTCATTCTACTCTTAAATTTGAGGTAGTATTTCAACCAAATTATTTTTTGAGAATTAAATTTTTCTTAAATGGCTTCTATTACAGCTCTGGTTTTTGCTTAGATTCTTAGGTGACTTACTTTAAAGGCTTTGTTATATTTTTTAAAGGCCTCTACCTCTCCGATAGATATAATGTGGCATTTAAATCTCTCAGTATCAAATCGTTAGAAGGAGAATGCTTGTTGTACTAAAGATCTTCTTAATAGTATAATATATCTATCTCATATGACTTAACCCACATTACCGCAATTTGGCTAAAAATGTAGATACAATGGATTCATGGAAAATAGACATGGACTTTTTTGGCATTGATAAATGGAAGTAATTGAATCAATACTCCTTGGCCCACAGATTGATTTCTCTCAATGAGAATGCAACAAAAAATATCACCTCAAGATCACTTGGTCAAATTTATAGAATGGGGATATATGATCAATTTCAAGGAAATCCTGATGGAGAGGGCTTTGAATTAGCCCGTTTCTCTTTGTAATTTTTTTGATAAAGTGATTAGAATTTCAATAATGCACAAGAAAGAAAAGATAATTTGATGAAGTCAAGATATTGGCTTATGCAGATGACTTAGCAATTATTGCTAAGCAGGAAATGCACATAAAATTCATGGAAACTTGTGAAGAAGGAACCTTCTTATAAATATTGTAATAACCAAATACAGTGCCAACAATTGGAAGATTTAGGAATCAAAAAAGGTGGAATACTTCAGATGCTTAGGAGTCAGAGTTAAATGAGGGGAAATATAACTGAATATATCAATCCTTTTGAAACGTTTCTAAAATAAGAAAATTATCCCTTCTAGAATGTTGACCAAACCATGGATCTTTATATACTTTCCATTATTAGACATAGAAACTTCACGATATGGTTCCTAAAGAAAGTTAAATAAAAAAATATTAAACTCTTAAGAGAAGCTCTTTTTAAAACAATATAGACCTTATAAAGCATTTCCTAATGGAAATTATAAAAAAAAATAAGAGGAACCCTGATACTTGCAATCTGAATGGGAAGAGAAGATTAGGAAATTTGATTAGAAGAAAGATGAGTTGGACTAAATTGAGATTTAGTAATCACAGAATAAATAACATGGGTTGCAAGAGGAGATTAACATCTTGAGGATATCCATTTATGTCTTTATCTGCTTATTTCAATCTTTGAAAATTTAGCTTGATGAATTGCAATGACCACAAACACTATCTGAGTGTTAACTACATCAAGGAGCACCTTAGGGGTTTCCCCAACGTTTTGATCAAGAAGATTGACAAAATTTACCGTTTTATGGAATACAACTACCACATTTTGTAAGCCGACTTTAAAGTGCTTCACAGATAGACGAAGTTGATTACGAAAAGAATCAAAAGTACATACCGTGTCCAAAAACAGCAATAAACCCTTATATTTACATTAATTTATGATTATTTTGCAAGAAAAAGGAAAAATTTTGAAGATTTTGATTTCTAAAAATAATTATTACTTTGAGGATTCATCATTTCATTTTAAGAAGACTTACCTCCTAATTGATTTGCTCTCTCGATAGATTTAATTGGCAATATAACTCTAATACATTTTAAACTTAAGAACCTAATTTTTTCCTTTTATTAAAATTATAATTTTATGTAAATTCATTTATGTTACATAAAGAATATATTATAGATGTACAATAATAAGTCAATTTTAAAAAACAATTGTAATTTTTTTTTCAATCAAATTGAACTTGTAGTTGAGTATACAAAAATAATCTGGTGAAATTGCATGTATTAGGAAAAGTATCTGAATTTGGAGCTTCAAGGTTTTGGTTAAACCAATTAAAAATAATACTAAAATTTTATACTACAACAAATAAACATTCATAATAAAAAGTAAATTTATTATGCTTAACTAAGCATTTTTATTTGATGAAGGTTATTATCAAATCATATAGCATCCAAAAAGTGTAATTTCTATCGAAAAATTAGTACTATATAATTATTTTATATCTGACAAGCAAATTTTTGAGATAAAATAAACAAGATTTGCTTATGTATTCAGTCATTGAATTATAGTGAGAACAATGAATATTAAGAGTTGTTACTAATTATTCACAAATAATTAATTAAATTATTATCGTAATAATGATAAAATAAAAAATGATAAAAAGAGTATGGTCGTTTGTGATAAAAGTATAGAATATAAAAAGACTGTTATTCAACAAATGTATGGATACTTTGGAAGCTAAATTAAATAATGTAATGAGTTTTATAAAAGTCGCTTAACTAATTGAAGAAATCAAAAGTAGAAGGTAGAATCAGTGCAATGAGCTATAATGATGAACATCAACTAAATCAATTAGCATTAAAAGACATTCCATTAATTGAAATCATACATTATCTAATAATTAAATTAACTTATTGGTGACACAGATGAATGTAGTAAATGTTTAGAATAAATTGGATAAGGGAAGTTTTTTTGAAGAATTGAAAAATCTAATTAATCAATTTAAAATTGGAGAATTCAAATCATTTGAACTGATCAATAAGTTTCAAAAGGTATTAACATTATACTTAAGGTCCTTCAATTTATATCTAAGAAATCTATAAAGTAGTGCGCATTTTTGAGAACCATAATTCAATTAGTATCAAATAGATTATGTGCTAAATACGTTTAGTTTTGATAATGATTTTCATTTCATTACTTTGATACCGACATATAAAAAATTAATGAAATAAATGAAGAATAGAGTAGAGTTATAATTTAGATAGCATAGAAAATATTAAAATAGATCTAAGTAACTGAAGAATAAATAACGTCCTCATATTTGAAAGTGGTAAAACTAATCCATCTTAATCTAACATTTGCCAGTTCTTTAATACATCATTTTTTTATCAAATATGTCATACTGACAAAAAAAGTACCTAAATTCAATAAGAATTAGATCAATAGGATATTATAATACGGCTGAAACATATTTAATCTATAAGATTATTTTTGTAATTGCTAATCACTATTATTTTGATGTTATAGTTACGTGAAAATGTCAATTAACCAAATTATCACTGTTATTATTCTAATTAGTTAGTTTAATAATTTTGAAATTAAAATTTTACATTACTTTGATTCTTAATTTGAAAAAGATTTTCCTTTTTAAATTAGCAGCGGTCAGATTTTTATTAAAAATAAGTCAGTGTTAGTCAATTTTCAAAAATATATATAGGGCTTTCTAAAGTTATAGCAAATGAATAAATTCTAACTATTGGATTTATAATTACATTTGTTAATATTTGTAAAATCGAAGTTATTGAAACCTTGAAATAAGAACCAAATTGGATTTGACAGCTGATTATTTAGGATTAGATATTCAGCCTGAGGTAGTTTAGTTCCTTCTTCATTCATTTTGTGAATAGAAATCTCATTCTTTCTTTTTGATCGCCATTCCACAATATCACTTTTATTCTTTTCTGTAAGTTTAAGATTGAAAATTATCTTCTAAGTTGTAATTCGGTTTATAATTCTTATTATTATCATAAGTATGATTATTAATATTATCTGAAATTATAAATGGAATTATAAGACTTCATTAACGGAGGAAAAAAAAAATAATTTTAAGTAATTAATGTTAGCAATTCTCATATGCATAGAAGAGATTGAGATACATGATGAAATTATTCAATCTGATAAAATTTTACCATCTCGATTGAGATCTGATTCAACATTTTTTCTTTGACTCATTTCCCAGGTTCTGGCAGTAAAGCAACTTCCTTTGAATTAATCTCAATTAAACTATCTTGCTAATTGTCTGTAGATTTCACTTTAACAAATCATCTCATTTTCCATCAGTCTTAAATGAAAGAAATATATTAAATTTGAGAAGTGTTTATTTGAAAATCCGAAGAAAAACTATAATGTTCAACCTTAGCTGATAATTTTTTTCTTCTAAGTAGACTTAAAAATGACATATTGCTTAAAATTCTAATGAAGTATAAATCACTTGATTCAAAAGTGTTAGTAATTCTAACTACACATTTTTCAATACTATTTTGAATTAATCATTATTTAAATGATTATCAAAGGATTGGTCTAACTTTACTAGCAAACTACTTACATTCCAAACAATAAACCGATTAAAAATAATGCGTATTTTTATGTTTGAAGGGAGGCTAACATTTAATACAAATTTATTTGTTCCTTAGATTTAGTAGATATTTCTATATGATGAAGCTATTGTGTATAAACGTAATTCCTATATTTGAATCAAATAGTTTTTTAAATGAGCTCAAACTTTATGGATAGAGTTTAAGATATATAATTCATGAAAAATATAATATAAATTGTAGTTTTCAGTAATATATAATTGGAAAGATATCTTTCTTCAACAAATTTTTGTAAGAAAGTATGAATTAGAAAATATATCAATGATTGAAACTGATGTACAAATATTAACTTATGTAGACATTTATTACTATGAATGCCATGACTTATAAAAGGAAATTACTTAAGAGATTATATGAAAAACAACCTATTTCATTTTGCTAATGAAGATTCAAGTCTTTCTGTAAAAATATTGTTCTTGGTTCATACTTTATTATAGTTCTTATTATGTCAGAATAACGGAATAATATATATCTTTTGATTGTGTAGAGTTCATAACTTTGAAGTATATATTTTAAAACTAATTTAGGATTTCTTTAAAAATTTTACGAATTATTATGTAATAATTCCTTAAAAGGTAATTGCACATTTCATTAGAGGTCTAGAATTCCTTCATTCTAATAGAATAATACATATGGATATTCACCTTGAAAATCTAATAGCAACCAATGTCATTGATTTGAGATTAAGATATAAATTTTCAAAGGGAATTTTTTAGGAGAACTATCAAGAGTTGTTGAAAAAGAGTTTAGCTTTAATTATTAAATTTAATGTTGAGAATACTTTATGTGTTTAATCTGCTGAACTAATATTTTATGTTTTGTTAATTGGCACAATTGTAGAAAAACCTTTATTTGATTTCAGACCCAATAATGAAAATAGAGGAATTAAATGGCAATAATGAAGCAATGGATCTATTTAAAGAAATTGCTAACCATAATGGAGGTGAAAAATCGAGTGCATACAATGTTTAATATAAACTTTGAAGGATTATTTATATTAAGTCCTCAAAGGTAATTCATTAAATATTATATCTAGCATTGATGGATTAAATCAAATTACAACCCCTCCAAAAGGAAATACATATAAACGAATTTTTGAAGATAAATAATATAATTGAACAATTAAATTTGAGTTAACATAGAAAAAAATGCTCTTTAAAATAATAGGGCCTATTTCTGCATAATTACGAGTGCTTTCTAGAGACAGAATAGAGACAGAAACCAGTAATCATTACTGAGTATGATGAAAAAATCAAGTACCTACTATTTCTCGATTATATAAACCACATTAAATTGTATTTTAGAGGAGGAGTAACCAAAAGATAATAAATTTTCGCACAGCATAATTAGTCTTTAAGAAAAATATCCTTCTAATGTATTGATAATAAGCATAGGAGAAGGGTAAGAGATTATGAGTGAACAGGAAGAAATAGATATTGTGATTATGTGATATCCTTCATGAAAATGATTTCAAAGTTACAAAATCATTATTAGTTATGACTCTAATTCATTTAAGACTTAGAAGCGAGCAAAAAGACTAATTAGAAGTCTGCGTCTAACATACCGATATTTTTGAGCTAAATAATGGCCGAAGGATAAGTAGAAATTTGAACTTCCTTTTAATAACTCCAAGTCTATTAAAGATAAAGAAGAATTAATCATGATTACCCCAAAATCAACTTTCAATAATGAACTGCTGTAGCTTAGTGAAATTTTAGAATGGGTTGATTTAAAGGAGTCAAATACGACAGCTCAAAATTTTTTAGAATTTGAAGAAATATATGAGAGGAATGATGTTAAGGGATCTGATAGAAATTAATGAAAAGAGATTGTATAAGAATTAAATTCATATTTTTATAACCCATGAGATTTAACTTCAAAAGATCTTGATTTGTCATCCAGTTCCCAAATAGATAGATATTTATTACCCATGGCACAAAATAGTTTTTATCAGAGTATCCACTTTTGCCAATTCTCTGATAAATAATTTAATAACAACTAAAAATTTAACATTCTAGTAATTAAATATAGTTTTTGATTGATTGTTACATAAAAGTTATTTATATTTTAAAATCCTTTTTGTAATTTACTCATAATACTTATTTCAAATTAAATTATATAATTCCTTTATTATTTCAATTGATCTCTATAAATTGAGATGATCGAGAAGTAAATAATCCATACTTGCAAATTGTCGCCAGGTTTCACAACTTTATTAATCAAATGTAGAGAAAGAATTTATATAGTTTAATGGAACATTATAGTTTATGAACGATTCCCTTTCAATATTAATCTCGTTAAAAATTCTGTAGTCTTTATTTTTACCTCATACTTATTGTTCCAATAAACAATTAAGACGTGGTTTTTCTCCTTTTAGAGCCTTTATCAACTAAATTTTTAATCCTAAACGGATTAATTATCTCAGGAAGCTTATTACTCTTCATCAAGTCAACTGCTATTATTGTTAATTTTTGAGGTTTGTTCATAATCTTTTTGGATTATTATTTATTTTAATAAATCAATAGTTGTAATTAAAATATCTATAATGAAGATTAAATTGTCACAAGGTGCTACATTGCTTCCAAATTCTAAACACTCAAAAAATCAACAGATTCAATAACATTTAAAATAATTGTATAAAAAACTAAAAAATAATCTTTAATAGCAAGAGTAGATTATACAGATTTAGAATCATATTCTATAATGATTTCACTAAACAGATAAATTGACAGATAATTTTAAATATATTGTTTATTGCAATTACGCTATTTCAACTATAGCTAATTATTCCATTCTGAATTATCCATATGACTTAATTTAACATTTATAAATAGTTTTAATAATGATCATTAGAAAGATATATTCAATCTTCTTTTAATAAGAACTATTTGATTTCATGATCAAAGACGAAGAATAATAGACAAATCTAGAGAAAATTAAAATAACTCAAATGGATTTTAATTATCTATTCTTCACCTTGATATTAGGATAAATATTATCAAGAAAAACTACATTTAGAATTCTAAACCTAATTTTCCCAATGCAAATATAAAATTTTTATTATTGCAATTATCTTAACCTTTTTATATATTTAGTCCTTGAAACTGAAAAGTGTAATCTTTGTAAGATATCAACTTCAAAGCTACAAACTCAAATTTTAAATTAAATATCAAAAATATTCTTTTTATATTTTATTTTCCTTAAAACTATCTAAATTAAATTTAGTATGATTTATCATTCCAAAATAATTAAATACCTCTATTATCATTCAAAGTTCTAAAATGAATAGATTAATTCAATTAATAAGTCTCTATTTTATCTCTTTCTAATCACGCTACAGAAACATCATTAGTTTTGTTAAATTATTAATTATTTCAAAGATAGAGATCACAAGTGAAATTATTACCTTTATTATTATCAAAACGCATACGCGACTTCCATTCTTTATTCACCTCAGATTATTAATTATGAACATCTAAATATCTCTACCACAAGAAACCACTGTATTTTATTATTAATTCATACTTAGTCCATATACACTAACAGAATGACTTGATATTGTTTAAGAGCACACTCATTCATTTTTCTTCATCCAAAACTTAATATTACTGTCCTCACTTCAAGAGATAACTAGATCTTCATTATAATTTAATACTAAACAATAAACATCATAAATATGGCCATGAAATATCTATTAGGCAATCCATTAGTTGGTTTTAACTTTTTGCCATATTCTGTATCATATCTCCCAAATATGAACTAATTCAATTTCTTCAAGAGATTTAAAGTCACAACCCTTCTTGATGTTCTGATAAACATTAAATTAGTTTTATCACTCCTTATTTAAATTCAAATACTTTAATTTGTGATTCAGACCCAGCCACTAATGTTGAAAAATCTTTACTAATAGTAATTGCGAAAAAACTCTCATTTTGTGGAATTGAATAATTTGGATTAATTATTAATTGAATGGCTTGAGATTTGATTGATAAATAAATTAAACTGTTAATGATTTTTATTCATATCTTATTGAATTTCTTTAATTAGTTACTCATGTTTTAAATTTAGAGATTCTTCTTTTAGTAAAATTTCCACTTTCATTTTTTTATGGTGTATAGTGATAACTCTTAATAGAGGTACGAGGTTAAATTAAAATTGTCAACTTTAGTTTAAGTCAAACAAGTTGAAGATGCAGAGGATAATGAATTAAGAGATTAAAAAAAATCAACTTTCAAAGTATCAAAAAACTCATTAAAAAATGAATCAATATGAGTCACGATATTGTTGAATGCAGACTATTCAATTATTAATTAATTAATTGTTTCAACATTATTTTAAACATCAACTGAGCAATCTTCTATTTTTGTCAAAAATATTTTCAATTATTCTATTCATTTATATATTTGCTTTTCTTCTCATACTTGTTTAAAATTGTTAACATTAAATTTTTGATATAATCCTAGTGCCAAACCAAATTGATTATATTTAATCATTATTAATCAATGGTTTGTCTCAGATTTTGTCTTTAAAAGAGTTAATTGAATTAAATAATATTTATTTATAACTCTCTCTTTGTTGAAGGCCTTGAAATCCAGAGGACTCTGCAAGTCAAGACTTGCAGAGTTAGAAGCAGTATAGAGATATTCGAAAATTTACAATCTGATCTACCAGGTTCAATCCAAAATTTTCATCTCTTCTTATAAAGTTTCTTACGTTTTTGAAATATTCCTTAATGTCCTTTTCTATTCCTGTTATAAATCAAGATTGGTAAAATTATTGTTTCTAGAAGATTTGGCCCATTTTGCAATTGAGAATAGTCAAAGGAAAAAACAAAATTCTATCATAAAATAACAATAAGAATATTTTGTTTATTCTTATTAATTCCAAAATGACAAATTAAATAATTTCAGATTAATTATCTTCTCTTTATCTATTTATTATCATTCTAGTTGTTGTTCTAATTGAATAAAAACATTTTTTTCTTTATAATTTATGATATAACTCTTACTGTTATGAATCTCAGTTGATTGTTTCTAAAATGAGGAAGAATCACCTAGAGATTACCTTACAAGCAATTATTTTACCTAATCAATTGACATTTTCCTTAAATCAGCTTAACAATCTGGTTTTTTCAGAATATACATTTTTGTTCATATAGAAATTTTATCATCTTTCTCATCAATCATTTTGCAGTTTTATAGTGAAAATTTACAACGTGATATTAGATATCATATAAGTTAAACCATTTGATTTCTCTTAATTTTAGAGTTATTTATTAAGATAAATTTAAATAATAAAGAACTTAATCATTTTAATAATGCGAGTCACTTTAAAAATTGAACATATTTTTTAATTAGTAGTAAAAGCCTCATATTGTACTACTGTAGGAAACAAGATAATATAGTTTTATCATAAAAATACCAAAACAAGAAACCAGGATTAACCATTCTAAAAAGAAGAAGGCAATCTTATGTGAAAAAAAAATATAAAATAAGAATTCTACAGCTATTTAAAGAAAATTTGAAGACTGAAATGAGTTATATCAAACCAATTAAATTCGTTTATGAACAGTAAAGACTTAAAGATGATAAAAATTAAATTCTAAGAAAAAATCTGAAGTATTTAAGCAGATTAACATAACTAAATTAGATTCAGAAAATACACCTTTTTACAGAAAGTTGCTTAATTAAACTTTAATAGATAACATCGCGCAAGTAATAGGAATACTTAAATTTTCCATCCCTACCCAAATCAATATTAATGAGATTGGAAAAGTGTAAAGGTAACAATCAATACATCTATTATAATTGTAAAAGTTGAAGTAATCACCTATTATTCCAACCATAGTTAACCCACTCAACCAAACCCAATAAAAATAGTCAAATGAAGTTGAATCTCGCCTTTTACTATAACTTATTTAACTCTATCGATTCATTTAAAATTTTATCTTTTAATAATGAGGGTGTGATTTAAAGAATTCACTCCTCATATTTAAACTTCCAAAAATATACTGTTAGCACCCAATCCGAATTCCTTATTATTACCTCTATCTAAGAGGCATATGCTGGACTTTATCTGACACTTTCTTGAATCAGAAAAGGGAATATATTAGCTATAGAATAAGGGCTTAGCCAAGAGATTAATCTGCCCTCTTAGAGTTAAAAATGACTGCCAAATCTTCAAACATTATTCATATCCTAAAATTGGAGACTTTAAGGATACTCTAACAATTAAAAATCTGTTTTTAAAATTTCAGTATCATTTTAGTTCAGAAGTTTTAATGTCCTAAAGGTAAAAGAGCAATCTCTCTTAAATAACAATGGTTTCGAAAAGAAAGAGAGGATAATCCCACTTACGATTTTAGTAAAAAGTATATTCTAGGGAAGTCTTTTTGAGCAGCTTAAACTTCTATTTGTAAAATACCCAAGGATTTAAAATTACAATGAATTGAGAATATGGAGTTTTTTTTAATATTTGTTAACTCAATATACTCTTTGATCAAAAATAAAATGCTAAGCCATAAAAGGAATTTTACGTCCACTGATTAAAACTGAGGATATCAATACACAGTTCTAACCTTGAAAACTAAACCCTAAACATCTAGGAATACAATGAAATTTTCATCAAAAACCTATTGAACAGGAAGGCCACTTTATAATAATTAATTAGTTTCTAGGAAATGCTATAGAGGCCTCCTAATCACTAGAATTTCCTCACATCCCTAGACTATAAAAGTAAATGAATAAAATTTATAATTCAATTTAGAAATAATTCCTATGTTTATGCATGTAAGGCCTTTTAAAATAGATTGGATTCAATTAGACTTTAGATTCTCGGGCTTACTCAGAAATTACAAAAAGAAAGTTAGGGAAAGATATGCCGAAAAAATAAAGGGAAAAAGAAATGTTGTATCTTTTTCCCTTATTAATATTAAAAATAGTTTGATTATATTATGATAAATATCAAATAGAAAAATGGAATTTTATAAGATTTATGATATAATATTTCGATCATAAAACTTTATCAATCTCCACCCACACACTTTATTAAATCCTTTTTCAATACATATGATCTATACCAAGCCAGTAATGAATTTCCTGATTCTTTAGAGTCTAAACATTAAGAAGTGTGTGAATAAACGAAAATTTTTACATTCCTATATTTTAAGAAAAAACATAGTCTTTAGCCAGAGCTTATCTAAAAAAGTCAATACCTACTCACTTTAAAAATCAAAGGAATTTTATGAAATAATTACTCATCCTAGAAATCTGAAACCATTATAAAAGAGAAGGATATATAACTAATGTAATGTAGATATAGAATCACAATCTATATTTAGTTAAACCTTTAAAATAGATTGATGGTCCATCATTGTACATTTAACATAATATCAATTTTAAAGATAAAATTATTTGTAAATAGGCCGAATACTCTTTTAAAAGAATATCAAAAAGTTGAAGTCTCATGCCAGGAAATCCTTAGGAGTTAGAAAAGCAAAATCATAATTTGAGAATATCTTTATCATTAAATTGTAGAATATTCATCAGTTAAATTAAGGTATGGAGGACTCCATATGATTAGATGATTATAAATATCGCCCTATTATCGAAGCTTTAGAGTAAATGATAATATATTGCTAAAAAGTATCCATTTTGATATTAAAGGCTATTAGGTCCAGAATCATGTTAACTTTATTGCGAATGAATATTTATTAACTGCAGAATTTATATTCGCTTATTATGATAGGCTCTTTATCATCGATGCTGAGAATAACAATAGAAATGATTGAAAAAATTAACTGAAATTCTTCTTTGCCTTAAATTGACATGTATTTTTGTAATCAAGAATACATAATGAACGTGAGTTTAATTTCATCCTATTCCTTGAACTTAGGAGTTTCATAAGGATAATACTCAATCTTAACATATTTAACTTAATATTGAAATGAAATAAATAATAATTTATTCAACTCAGAAAGATATTTGCATTTAGAATAGGATTATTTTTTATTTGGCATAATTTGAATTGCTGTAAATTTCATTACAATAGTTCATTTTGATTTAGTCTTTTAATATCAACACTAATATTTTGTTGTAATATTAATATTCAAAAGAAGTCATTAATTTTACAGGTTGCAAAAGAGCGTTTCTAATATTATTTCAAAATTATAGTGGATAGAATTTGAAATTCTTTTTTTGTCTTTTTAAAATTTTCAAAATAATAATTCATAAAATTTTTACCAAAATTAATAAGGAATGGAAAGCAGGATGATCAATTTTTTCAAATTTGAAGTTAAGAATGATGATGATGATTAAAAATTGTCGGAACTAACAGGTTTTGCAAATTTAACTGATTCATAGATGTATTGACCTTTGTAGCCTGCAACAAAATTTTAAATCAATATATTAGATATATTATCTAAATATTGATTCTGTCAGCCAAATAAATCCTGAAAGTCTCTCAAGAAAGATATAAATTTATATTCTATTATTGTTTGTATTTGTTAGTGGTGGACTATAATCTTCAAATACTATCTTCTTTCATATAATTAATTTTAAAATTTTTCTATCAACCAGTTATATAGCCTGATATTTATAATCCTGGCTATAGTATTTGAAATTCTAAATAAGAGGCTTTACTCTATGATTTCTTTTCTAATAATTAGTAAATGATCATTCATTAGATTACTAAAAGCTGAATTGGTCAGCTTGAATCATTTTATAATGACAGTTAAGTATGAATTTCTTAATTAATAATATAAGATTTTATTGGGATTATTTCCTCACTTATACTTGGCTTAATTATTTTTTATTAACTTTTATCTGATTATAACTCTAAGGGATATCTTTATAGCTCAAAACCTATATCTCTTAGATTTCAGGATTTACTTGGATATCATTTATGCTAAAGTTTTAAGCATTAAGATATTCA